GGTGATTTTATTATAAAACATATTATAGTGTTTTGCAGGGTCCTTGGACAATTCAAAAGTGCCTTATGTTTGAAGTGACTCAGTATGGGAGCCCCTTATGCAGAGTTTCAGAGTCTACAGTCTTACGCAGTCCACACTGATTAAAGTGTTAAGGTAGAGGGGTTGTTCTACCTTTGAGAAGATTACTAGATAGGAACAATTTAAAGTTATAAAAGAGCCAAAACAAAAAGGTAATCAACAAACCATGATATCCAGCTTGCAATAGTAATCATGCTAATTTTTCTGTCATAAAAAAGGTCTCTAACATCACTTTTCTCATTTTCAACTTCCTTTGGAACTTCTAACTCCACCTCTTGAAATGTTTTACGATTCCATTTGGCCACTTTTTTCAACTGTTTAATAGCTTCATCATGGCGTTTGTTTACCAAAGATAACGACATGATTCGGGAAGAAACCTAAGAAAGTGTATTCAAGTAATTTTTGATATGACTGATCAATATTATCCAAATGCGATTGATAATTAAGTACTTACCACGAAGTAAAAATGACAGGGATTGTTAAACATGCACCATACAAAAGCAAGTCTCTCCATTCTCTGATCAAATAGGCCATCAATGAAAGAAACATAAAACATGCTGAGCCATAGTACCAGATATTGCTCCCTGCCCATGAACGATGTTTAACACCACTGTACTCAACAAGGAGAACAAAACTTGTCATTGATGAACCAGCTAAAATAAATAAAAACAGTTGACCATGAAAATGAATAACTTTTTAGTCTATATTGCTATTTATGCATATCATTTTCAAGTAAAATGTAAAATTTTCATGTGGACAAACATGAGAAATGAAGCATTTTGGAAACAAAATTACCAAAACATAGATACTATATAGGTAAACATTACTCACTCACTCACCACATGCAATTCCAATAAGGATACGACAAGCAATGTACACAGCAAGATATCTTGGCCAAACAATGGCCCAAGAAAAGATAGAACAGGCAATCACAGAAGAGATTATAGCTTTTCGTCTGCCAATCTTGTCAGATATATGACCAAATAGAAGGTTTCCCATTAGCCAACCCAACCAAAACAGAGATGAAGAAACATTTTGAAGAAAGCTTTTGCTACAAACCAACTCAAACTAAAAAAGTCATGGTAGTACGGTTTTAGTTTTCCAAATCTTATTTAGGTATGTGACACAGCAAGCCAGTTTATTTACTCCTGCTATAAAAATATCTTGGCCTTCATTCGCTGTAAAAACAATAAATTTCTTGGCAACAAATACTGCTAACGATCTAAAATTTGCAAAGAATAAAGATTCAGGAAACTGGCTTTCATTTTTAGTGCTGTTTTTAAATATGAGCATTTCTTGGACAAAAATTTCGATTATACTATAGATTACGTTTTTGAAAGGTAGACATTTTTACGAGCTACATGAACATGTTCATAAGTACAACATTTAACACTTTTTAAGCAGCTATAAAAAATATGCAGATTCGTGCAGCCAACCGTTACAAAGTATAAATTTAATCATTACGTAACAATTACGCTACCAATTCTTATCATGAATCGTCATTATCGCACATCAGATAAAATTGCCTTCCAACTTTTCTTCCAATTTATTTTGCAGTGGCCACTTGTTTTGTGTTGTGCGTACGTAAAAAATTTGTGTTCACTAACCTCTGTAACTGTGGACGTGAAAGTATCGGAAAATTTCCATTCCGATCGAGGCATTTCACATCTTTTATTGTAATTGCTACTTGTTGTGTCGATTGTGCCGCTAAAATTGCAAGTGACACTGCTTTCGGCACATTCCCAAGTAGGTTCTCCAGCGATAAAAGTTATAATCATAACATTAAATTCAGAGAGACCGAATTCAATGAAGCCAACCAACTGTAACAAAAATATTTGGTATCTTCCATAACCGCCTATCTCGCTTAAAACTGTGTCAACTGTTGCAGACATCTTGAAATCGTACTTGAACTGTGGTCATCGGAGCTCGCTAGAAGTGCCATAATAAGCTCACGTTTGAAAACACTATACTCAGAGTATCAAATTACAAAGGTGGTGAATGAACCATTAATGATATCAACAATATCAGCAGTGTTACCCGGTACAATTTTAAAATGATTATGTTGCTCAACACAAAACATAAAGAGATCTAGATTTGACTTAAAAGATGTATTCACTTTGGTCACGCGCTGTGCGATAGGTCCATGGTTAGTTCAATAATTGTCTGCTCCATTTGACTTTATTCAAGTGAATCAAGTATTACTATCCGGAGACTAAACACAAAAACCATGGATTGAGCTTTATTTATAGAAGCAAAACGTAGCCAAACAAGATATTTTCATGGCCCAACGGGTATGGGGACAGTCTTTACCTCAGTGAACTCTAACTTAACCAAAACAAAACTCGAGCACCAGTATTCAAATTTCAATTATGCCATAAAAGGAAAACAACAAAAACAAGTCCAAAGAAATATGCAATATGAAATGAAACATACTCCGAACAAAACACCCACTTTTAACCCAATATTTGAGATAAAACAGAGGAAAAGCATTAAAAATTCATCATCAGACTTTAGCTAATTGTGGTTCAAAAGCCTCCACCAGGAAGACTTCGACAAACAGTTCAATCATTTTCCCCTTCATATTCACATCGCCAACAGTCAACATTTCTTTAAATAAAAAGATTATCTTTGTCTTTAGATGCTAAAATCATAGGATTCTTTTAACCTCCACCAAAAATTTGTTTTTGGATGTAGAACTTTTTATAAATTACAAAAAATTTAGTATTCCCTGTCATCTTCGTCTAAAAATTTCACCAAATTTTCTCATCTAGTCTCGTCAGAACTACCCGAGTATAAAATTTCAATGCATTTTTTCCCTTGTGAATTTTGGTCCGAAAAAAGCAAAGAAGGTAAAATTTCGACGTTAGTGACTGTCTCATCCAAGTCATCGTCATTTTCATCTTTCAGGCTCAAGTTAGCAGTAATGTTGCTCAAAATATCGTAAGCATTTTTCGTTGCACCATTCTCAATGAAAGATTGCTTTTCGTCCTTTGTCGAACTACAACTTTCTATAGTTTTATTACTTTCTGTCTCGCTGTTGCTATCATCTGATGATGTTTCAGAATCACTAGAATCAGAATGACTGTATTCCCTTTCATTCAAAGCTAAAAACCAGCTAATGGATTTCTTCTTTATCCCAGCGAAACGTGAGCCCCTTTGAGAAGATGCAACAGATGACATTTCTTATGCTAATAGGTACTTATTTACCACACCAACCACGGTCGACAATACATGAAATTCAACTTACGAGATATTATCCCTCCCTGGAGTCCTAGGACTCAAGCCCAATGCCCATATTCTGTGGCCCAAGAGTACAAGTAATTTGATACCAATCATTCATTCTAAATATGACGCAACATGCGACCAATTAGAAGTAGAGGCTGTAGAACATGTAGAGCTAAATAAAGCAAGATATGTAACTTATTGCATTGAATAATCTAAACAAGTATATTCAAAGTTGACGCAATAGAAGGATTCTTGAAAAGATATCAAAAAAGTATAAATTTAGCGCTTTTACTTGTATGATATTGGAATTTGCCAATTCGCAACTAAATTTAAATCTTAGTCAATGGTCAAAATAATTGAGCACAATTTCACTTCTTTCAGAGGCAAAAAATAAACAAACCTGTCACAAAATATAGTCTAAATGGACACTTGTTTTCTTTTGATGACGATAAAATTGAAAAATACAGAAGACGATAAAATTTGACACATGTAGTTTGTCTAATACTGGTGCTGCTACACTTAAAAAAATCGTTTCAATTAACTGTAAAAGCTAAACTTTTATTGTAATTTGGAAAATTGGAGGTAACATATCAATTACCAAGACTGTAACTGGCCTTTATGTATTTCAGAAACAATTTTAAAAGTTCTGTAGTTCAATGAAGAAAAGGCAATAACACCACCAACTATATGTACATGAAGAATGGTTCTTATAAGCCACCGCCACTGGAAAATACCTCTGTCGCAGTAAATACAGAAAGAGTATGAAAGACAAGGAAAATCCACGATAAAAATCTCGTTAAAATTAACGTTTTTCAATTGGCGTCAATATAAATCCTAATGTCCTAACTGTTTTAACTTTAAAATGCCATTCTTTATGTTGTACAAAAGTTCACGTACTCTTGTTGACTTCAACACGGAATTTTGTTTTAATAAAGATTAATCATAGAAAACTTTTGCCTTTTCTGCATATCTAGATAGAATTGCGTTTCACAATTTGTCATTGTTTCACCAAACAACCTTATTTCTTGACCATCGGTCATTTCTTGGTCACATTACCTTGGGTTACCGAATGATACAAATCATAATTGTATAATTTGGCAAAATGAAATAATGACCACTGTCAATGAAAAGATACATGGTTATCAAAAACGATCAATCTGTGGTAATGTTTGATCTTTCATTCTCAATCGAGTAATACTTCAACTCGTTTTTGTTTATCATTAGGTTATTTAGGTATATGTACTTTTTATAACTAAGTCAAATTGAGCTCTTTTTCATTAACTTTCAAAGAAAATGAACGGTGTTTTTTGGAAACAACGCGTTTCATGTTAAAATAATCAAGACAAAATATCCATACACATGCATTATCTATAAAAATTAATAGAGTCGCATTGTATTTGTTTTAGTTTACTGTGTGTTTCAAAAAACAAACGCAATTTTAGAAATGCAACGATGTTTGTCTGCAGGACGAAAACAAAGCAATAGTACACCTAGATTACGAACATAAAATATCATAAACAGAACGCTCCATACGCAGATATTGAAATCTAAAAGCGTATACATGCATACACTCGCACGGAAGACATAAATTCTCAGAGATATGTCAAGCTTGATCATTGCTGTCCCTCTGAACAACCGCAACTGATTAGGGACAAGCTAAAGTTGTAGTTCATTTTTGAAATCTGTATAATGCTAAATTCCTTCGACCATATAAAAATTTAATTAAAAAACTCAAATAGCAATGTTTCTACCAGTACAACATCAACAAACACGCGATAAAGAAAAAAAGATAGCGACTGGATGATCAATAGTGTCATCTTCGAGCCTTTGAGAAAAAAGAGAAGAGTTCTTTCAATTATTGTTTCGTCCACTAGTCTTTTAGTATAACGAAAAAATCTTGTTCAGGATGTCGACTATTAAACTTTGCTATTATTTTCTTCGTCTTTGCCATTCACTAAGTCTCCATTTTCAAATTCATTTCAACAAAATTCCTCATACTTTCTGGTGTAGGTTTATTCACTGTCTCAGGCAAAAGCTTAAAACATATCGCTCCAGTTACTGCACACAGAACCGCAACAATACTGTACGGCAATAATGCATGAATACGGATCTGTATAGGGATAAAAGAAAAAATAAAAGGATTAATTTATGTATTCATTCTTCATTTCTAGTATCCCGCCAAAGACAAGACAGGTCAGACTAAAGCATGAACGAAAACAGCTCACATTACCATTACATCGTTAAGAAAAAGTACGCATATAAAACCTAATCAGAACGGTCATGGGAAGTAAACCCTCATCCTTAGAATATTTTTCATAACAAAATGAAACTGTCGTCAATAACTCTGTCATCGGCGAACGAAAAAATAGACACTACACCCCTCGAAGCGTAAGTACAATACTGGTACAATACATTATTGTACTTACCAACCAAACAACATAAAGTGACAAAAATGAACCAATTCTAGCAAATGCGGAGGATGTTCCAATACCAATCGTGCTGTAGAAATAAAGAGCATTAAATGTGAAATTCGTGCATTTATATGAACGTTTGGTATAGTTATTGACATCATGAATTTTGTAAGCTGCTATCATTTAGTCCTAACAATGTAAACCATTAGACAAATTTTTTTAAATGGTTTTGAGAATTTCTATTTTTAACATAAAGTAAATTACCAATTATACGTAATATGTACATGCTCTATAATATCGAGTTCTTTACTCACCGTACTGAGGTAGGAAATAACTCTGAGCTATAGATATAAACAGTGTTGAATGAAACAAGAATTGCATATTTACAAATCATAGCCATAATTATACGCCCGATCGTATAACCTGTGAAGAAACGCAAAGAAAATCATAAAACCACTAAGTAAAAATATACATGAAATAAGTTCTCAATTTGAATTGTTTAAGAGAATTGGTAAAAATACAGTTCATTGAAAATGTAATTCTAACACTATGGTTTGTGTAAGTTGGACTGATAGGCCCTACCAGGGTTGTAATTGCTTGGGGGACCCAATTCCCCTTGTTACATTTCTAAATCAAGTTAGGGGGAACCCCCGTTTATAGTTCTTAAACACTTTATAATTTCAAATTGTGAAGCATTTATTTAAATGATTCACCTCCAATAAATTTATGATTTTTTGATTATATACGCTTGGTCAATCCTATACGTACCAGTAAATGATTAGATTACTTTATAAAATAAACTATAAGTTTGTTTACATTAGCCAGTGCAAAACGATCTGAGCTCAACTAATCAAATCAATCAAATCAATCAATCAATCAATCAATTAATCAATCAATCAATCAAAACAATCAATCAATCGATCAAAGAGAATTTGCAAACCACTCGTTTGTATTACATTTGTCTGACTTACATTATTGTTATTTTATAAAAGAAATAAAAGATGCTTTTCGTGTTTGCACTGGCTTAAACAAACATCAGAGACGATTGTGAGAACTCTCGAGCATGTGTAACCCTCGACGTTCGGTCTCGAGCTTGCAGTGATCTACTCTCCAGTACTCCAAAAGTTCTCCTCGGTTTGCATAAGCCTGCACGAGCACTGGCGCAAACGCAGTAGTTCATGATAGTTCATTTTAACAGCAAAATTTTCTTTTCGTCTTAACTAGTTTATTTCGGAGAGACCACCTTGTAAAAATTTTGGCAATACACCACTGGGCCCTACCCTACACAAATTCCATTTTGACACTTTCAAAATCAACAAAATTCAAATTTGTAACATTATACCTGTATTAGACCTGTCTGTTGGAATAGCAACCGCGATTATTGAGGCTATTGAGGAAATTATCATGCCATAAATAAGAGACTTACGGCGACCAAATCTACAATGTAACAGAAAAACACGATAAAATACTGTGAAAGCCCTTAATCTAACTTATTATACGAACGGCACATACAAATATGACGTTAAAAACCAATAAACGTAGGTTATTCACATCCTTCACAGGGTACTAAAGTGATATTTCCTATCACATACCAATTTATAACTTTACAACTCGTCATTTACTGGTTATAACGTATATAACGTTTTCATAACTTTCCCAGTTAATGGAATACATTTTGAGTTTCCACAAAGTTAGAGGTCTTACTCTAACTCCGCAACACTAACCAGACGGTGTTGGTAAAATATTTCAACTGGACGAGTATCGACAGTTAAAAATGTATTTGCGCAAAGGGTGCCATTCAAATCTTTATATAATAACGAGAAACATACGTACTTGTTCATACAAATAATCGATGTAAACGTTGATGGTATGGATGCAAGACTGACCAGAGCAAAATTCAGATAAATATTTCCTCCAAGATAAATAGAACCGTATGTGACTGCGTAATACACAAGTGCACAACAAAACCTAATAAAAAATTTTTGCAATAGAAAAGCAAGAAACAACTCAAACAACAGTTTATACTGCATTTCGACTTGCTTACATGCTAATGAACTGTAGTACGTAATTCAGACACGAAAATGTAAAAGCCTTGGGGGGGGGGACAATGGATATGAGATGTTCAATAGAAAGAGGCATTGATACATTTTCTAATACTAAACCATGAAACAAATTAAAAATATATGGCATTGTTAACAAAGTGAGATCAACTTTTACAAGTGTGACGTCACATTCACCTGATTTTAGTCCATAAACAGAAGTGGAGTTTAAAATTACCATATCACGTGAACAAAGTGGTACATCTCATAAATTATCTTGGTCAGAACTCAACTATATGGTTGGTGGCTCATTAAGGGAGATGGCCAAAGTTATCTGGGTGATTTTATTATAAAACATATTATAGTGTTTTGCAGGGTCCTTGGACAATTCAAAAGTGCCTTATGTTTGAAGTGACTCAGTATGGGAGCCCCTTATGCAGAGTTTCGCAGTCTACAGTCTTACGCAGTCCACACTGATTAAAGTGTTAAGGTAGAGGGGTTGTTCTACCTTTGAGAAGATTACTAGATAGGAACAATTTAAAGTTATAAAAGAGCCAAAACAAAAAGGTAATCAACAAACCATGATATCCAGCTTGCAATAGTAATCATGCTAATTTTTCTGTCATAAAAAAGGTCTCTAACATCACTTTTCTCATTTTCAACTTCCTTTGGAACTTCTAACTCCACCTCTTGAAATGTTTTACGATTCCATTTGGCCACTTTTTTCAACTGTTTAATAGCTTCATCATGACGTTTGTTTACCAAAAGATAACGACATGATTCGGGAAGAAACCTAAGAAAGTGTATTCAAGTAATTTTTGATATGACTGATCAATATTATCCAAATGCGATTGATAATTGAGTACTTACCACGAAGTAAAAATGACAGGGATTGTTAAACATGCACCATACAAAAGCAAGTCTCTCCATTCTCTGATCAAATAGGCCATCAATGAAAGAAACATAAAACATGCTGAGCCATAGTACCAGATATTGCTCCCTGCCCACGATCGATGTTTAACACCACTGTACTCAACAAGGAGAACAAAACTTGTCATTGATGAACCAGCTAAAATAAATAAAAACAGTTGACCATGAAAATGAATAACTTTTTAGTCTATATTGCTATTTATGCATATCATTTTCAAGTAAAATGTAAAATTTTCATGTGGACAAACATGAGAAATGAAGCATTTTGGAAACAAAATTACCAAAACATAGATACTATATAGGTAAACATCACTCACTCACTTACCACATGTAATTCCAATAAGGATACGACAAGCAATATACACAGCAAGATATCTTGGCCAAACAATGGCCCAAGAAAAGATAGAACAGGCAATCACAGAAGAGATTATAGCTTTTCGTCTGCCAACCTTGTCAGATATATGACCAAATAGAAGGTTTCCCATTAGCCAACCCAACCAAAACAGAGATGAAGAAACATTTTGAAGAAAGCTTTTGCTACAAACCAACTCAAACTAAAAAAGTCATGGTAGTACGGTTTTAGTTTTCCAAATCTTATTTACGTATGTGACACAGCAAGCCAGTTTATTTACTCCTGCTATAAAATATCTTGGCCTTCATTCGCTGTAAAACAATAAATTTCTTGGCAACAAATACTGCTAACGATCTAAAATTTGCAAAGAATAAAGATTCAGGAAACTGGCTTTCATTTTTATTGCTGTTTTTAAATATGAGCATTTCTTGGACAAAAATTTCGATTATACTATAGATTGCGTTTTTGAAAGGTAGACATTTTTACGAGCTACATGAACATGTTCATAAGTACAACATTTAACACTTTTTAAGCAGCTATAAAAAATATGCAGATTCGTGCAGCCAACCGTTACAAAGTATAAATTTAATCGTTACGTAACAATTACGCTACCAATTCTTATCATGAATCGTCATTATCGCACATCAGATAAAATTGCCTTCCAACTTTTCTTCCAATTTATTTTGCAGTGGCCACTTGATTTGTGTTGTGCGTACGTCAAAATTTGTGTTCACTAACCTCTGTAACTGTGGACGTGAAAGTATCGGAAAATTTCCATTCCGATCGAGGCATTTCACATCTTTTATTGTAATCGCTACTTGTTGTGTCGATTGTGCCGCTAAAATTGCAAGTGACACTGCTTTCGGCACATTCCCAAGTAGGTTCTCCAGCGATAAAAGTTATAATCATAACATTAAAAGCAGAGAGACCGAATTCAATGAAGCCAACCAACTGTAACAAAAATATTTGGTATCTTCCATAACCGCCTATCTCGCTTAAAACTGTGTCAACTGTTGCAGACATCTTGAAATCGTACTTGAACTGGTCATCGGAGCTCGCTAGAAGTGCCATAATAAGCTCACGTTTGAAAACACTATACTCTGAGTATCAAATTACAAAGATGGTGAATGAACCATTAATGATATCAACAATATTAGCAGTGTTGCCCGGTACAATTTTAAAATGATTATGTTCTCGGTAATTGCCGGAAAATATTGGAATAACTCGGAAAATATCGGACTAACTTGAAAATCGTCATTGTTTGTCGACAAAAGAATTGTCGAGCTGTGAAAATTGCCTACTCATTGAACTATGATTTATGCATACTTTCCTGATTAATATGATGAAAATCATAAGCGGCCCAGAAACTGTTTACGTTTTTTATTCAATCGATTGATGTAAATACACAGCAAATAGTAAATATATTATTTGTACATTTGCATATTTGCACATTGTAAAATACATTTACTATTTACACTGTGCTATTTACAGAATAAAAAAAACTTAAACAGATTTCTAGGCCGCCTGTTGATAAAATACAAATATTCATGAAATTTTGAAAAGTTCACAAAAAGTTCACAAATTTTTTATTGTTCATTAAAAGTTCATGAAGAGAGCAAAAAATTCACAAATCTATGAACTTTGTTCATGATCTGGCAACACTGTAGTATATTTAATAATTTTATTTTTTTATGTATTATATTCAGTGCTGTAGAAGTGGGGGGCGCTTAGGGGAGGAGCCCCACTTGTACCTTTGTAATGGGTAATTTTAAAAGGCACTATTGACAAAAACGTCAAGAAAGCCCGAGAGCCTCCCATCTGATAAATTTAGTTCTACATCACTGACTATATTGTACTTTCGCAGTTTGCACAACACAAAACATAAAGAGATCTAGATTTGACTTAAAAGATGTATTCACTTTGGTCACGCGTTGTGCGATAGACCATGGTTAGTTCAATATAGTTGTCTGCTCCATTTGACTTTATTCAAGTGAATGAAGATTACTATCCGGAGACTAAATGTAACACAAAAACCATGGGATTGAGCTTTATTTATAGAAGCAAAACGTAGCCAAACAAGATATTTTCATGGCCCAACGGCTATGGGGACAGTCTTTACCTCAGTGAACTCTAACTTAACCAAAACAAAACGCGAGCACTAGTATTCAAATTTCAATTATGCCATAAAAGGAAAACAACAAAAACAAGTCCAAAGAAATATGCAATATGAAATGAAACATACTCCGAACAAAACACCCACTTTCGACCCAATATTTGAGATAAAACAGAGGAAAAACATTAAAAATTCATCATCGGACTTTAGCTAATTGTGGTTCAAAAGCCTCCACCAGGAAGACTTCGACAAACAGTTCAATCATTTTCCCCTTCATATTCACATCGCCAACAGTCAACATTTCTTTAAATAAAAAGATTATCTTTGTCTTTAGATGCTAAAATCATAGGATTCTTTTAACCTCCATTTGTTTTTGGATGTAGAATTTTTTATAAGTTACAAAAAATTTAGTTTTCCCTGTCATCTTCGTCTAAAAATTTCACCAAATTTTCTCATCTAGTCTCGTCAGAACTACCCGTGTATAAAATTTCAATGCATTTTTTCCCTTGTGAATTTTGGTCCGAAAAAAGCAAAGAAGGTAAAATTTCGACGTTAGTGACTGTCTCATCCAAGTCATCGTCATTTTCATCTTTCAGGCTCAAGTTAGCAGTAATGTTGCTCAGAGCATCGTAAGCATTTTTCGTTGCGCCATTCTCAATGGAAGATTGCTTTTCGTCCTCTGTCGAACTACAACTTTCTATAGTTTTATTACTTTCTGTCTCGCTGTTGCTATCATCGGATGATGTTTCAGAATCACTAGAATCAGAATGACTGTATTCCCTTTCATTCAAAGCTAAAATACCAGCTGCTTCCAAATCTACTAAGTTCCATCCAACAGAGTCGCGGCATAATTCCATCTAAAAAAAAACAAAAAAAAGTAAAAAGCTATAAAAATTGTTCAAAGATCCACCCCGTACAACCAAAAAATATTTACTTCACTATTATAGAGATTTTACTAAGGTTGCAATCAATTGTAGACATAAGAACTCAAATGACAACTAGGGATCCAGGGGATTCTAGGGATTTATTTCATTTTTCCATTTGCTTCCACTTAATTTTGATTCATACATCATAATATGAACATCCACTGACTTCATGGCAATGACGTAAAACATTTTTCATAACACTTATCACCTATCACCTATGATACCTGTACAAGAAGTACACGAAGAAAACATAAGAAAAACATAGCTACATTACATAAAATCTTCCATAAGCAAAGGATTGAAATCTGAAACCACACGTGGACCAAAAGACAAATTTTAAAATGTATTAAAAATATCGAACACCGAAAAAGTTGATGTAAGTGTTGCACATAATTATACTGCAAAGCTGCCTAAATCTGATGATCCCAATAAGCTTTACCTTAGATAATTTCTTTGCAAACGAATATATCTTTCCTTCCTACAAATATACAAAAACATGCAAAATTAAAACGATTCCGAAAAATGGCAACTTTCTGCTCTACGAGATCTCTTACCCTGGACCAATCTAAGCTTGTGCTTTACTAAAGCTAGTGTCTACGAAAGAGTCTTGACTACTACGACGAATGTTAACTTAAAAGATCATTATGAATTATAAAATAAACACAATGAAACGCGTGCTCTGATTGGTCTAGAGCTGGGTTTGCATTAGCCAGTGCAAAACACATCTGAGCTCAACCAATCAAATCAATCTAAACAATCAATCAGTCAAAGAGAATTTGCAAATCGATCATAAATAAATTTTAAAGGAAAAATTAAAATGTTTGTCCTTTTTCGCATTATTTTTATTTTATAAAAGAAATAAAAGATGTTTTCGTGTTTGGCTTATGCAAACCTCGGAGACGTTTGTGAGAACTTTCGAGAAGGTGCAACCCTCAAACTTCGGGCTCTAGGGCTTGCACTGATCTGCTCTCTAGTTCTCCCAAAGGTCTCCTCGGTTTGCATAAGCCTGTGCAAACACAGTAAACATCTTTTATTTCTTAAATGAAAAATGTCCACCAAGAAGTTATGTTGCAGTTGTTTGGTTTTGTTATTGACTCAATTATGAAATTAAGTCAACTTACTTTATTTTTTGAATCCAAACGCAATAATCGATCATATACAATTCATTGAGTAAGTATCTTGGCTCGCTTTCATTGAATAACATGAGAACCTCCAAAAGACATTTCAAGATCATTCTACGACCTACACACAAATTATAATATACAAGATACGTATTATGAAAGGTTGAATGCCATCAACCATATACGTATGAAATGTGCATCGCAGCACTGTAAAGAGAGTAATAAGAAAAAATTTCAACGGCGGAAAGAGAGTGTAAGGTCACAGTAGTTAAAAAAAAACACAATAAAATGTGAAATATATACATCCATTGTAGACAATTTAGCACGAGAGTAACTTTACATTTACCAATTTGAAACATATGTTTAACATCTTGCAAGACTTTACAAGTCAAATCCCAGTGTCTGTAGAGAGGATAACAAAGTGATCTGCGAGCACAAGCCATCAACACTTCGTCTAAACACGTAAATCTCTAAACAAGAAAATATTTAAGTCTTGATTGATGATTTCATATGTATAACAAATACGTTAACATACGTGATAGCTACATCATGTCAACAGCTTAAGTATAACGAGACGAATAAATGGACATATACCTCGAACCACGATAATGTAGCGCTCAGTTTGGAGATCGTCCACGCAGACTCCACCTAAAACAATGTAAACCATTGAACTAAAATACATGGAACGCTACCTGTAATAGAAAAGTTTAATAAATTCTTTGATTGAAAAGTCTAATAAATTGTACCCAAACACGCGTGTGTAGTCAATCAATTTTCAAAATCTCGAAACACTACACACGCGTGTCTGGGTGTAAGATTTGGCTTCAATAATTTGCTTCAGGTAGCGTTCCATGTATTTCAGTTTAAAGATGTAAACAACGTGCATGTACGTATAATTTAAGACGTACGTATGTATAGGTAACATTTCCACTCAAACACAAACCGTGTTCTCTCCCAAAGTCGTTCGTCTGTTATAAGCATATGCAAACATTATATCAAGAAGACCGTAAAAAACGCCAGTTTTCTCATTCGAGTCCAAGATGTCTGAATGCAATGTTAAATTAATTGATACGAAACGTGTTAGAGAATATGATATTTGTGAATCAAACTAAGGTCTGGTAAATAAGTTTTATTTTCTCCGGAATTACAGTACAACACTTAACGACATTTTTTTGGAACACCTACAGATCACCAATACAATATAAACGACGTAAAGTTGCTGTAACTTTTTACTAAGCCACAGGATAAGAGAGTTCCTGACTGTATTCTACAACAATGGCATTCGTATACGAACAATAGTAGAAAAATACAATTTTTGTAACCATCGTCATTTTACAAGCTAAAAGGATACATTCTCGATTTGGCAGCGTCAGTAGTTTTTTCTTTTCGACTTCAGTGAAAGATTCTAAAAATTTATTGGTGCTTTTGAAAATTTTTGGATTGATGAGAAAAGTTCAACTAGATCTACGTAGCAAACCACTGAATTCCAAATATTCACCAAGCCTTAAGAGAAATCTTACCATTAGTGCTGAGTTTGTATTTAAGGATTTCACAAATTATCTCATCATCAAAAGTATCTGCTCTAAAACATCCAAAAAAAAGAAAATGAATTAGACATAATTAATAAAAATAATTTCGTTGTTACTAACGAATATTTGGCAAGGGTAAGCTAAATAACTTTGATACTTTTTTATTAGCTACAAACTAAACATTTCAAACATAAACCGAAGAATAGGAGCTAAGTTGACTTTCACTGTGGTGATTTCCCACTTCATAGTCAAAGATAATCAAGTTCATACGTCGCAGTATTGCACATTCAAGGCATTGGAAAAAACCAGAAAGTTGGAAAAACATCGAGACCTTGATGGATTTAGTTAGGAATAATATAAGAAACATCGAATTGATAAAAAAGGATGTGATGCAAAGATCATATTGGAAAAACAGACAACAAAGAAGACATGATGGAGTATTGAATATCAAAATTTTCATTTTAAGCAATTCAAATAAACTTAGCTTTAGTACATTAAATAATTGACTAAAATAATTTGTTCAAGACTTGTTGAACTTTGTTCACTCACAGATAATGCTCTTCGTCAAACTTAACATCTTCGGCAGCAATTCTTGCAACCCTACGCTCATTAAATGTCATTTCATCAGGATTAACAACTTCAACAATGTCCTTGAGTTCATCCTAGAAAAAAAACATCGAGCGATCACATCGCAATGTTTGAAAAAAAGTCGGAAAAATAAAATCTAAATGTAAAAATTTGACAAAATGACCCACGTACTTTCAAGGGAGAAAATACACCACTCTTTTGATTGCCAAAACCATATTTGCAAGCTGTCATACCAAGATAATGCTCACTCTGAAAATTTAGTTCATGAATACGTTTAACAAATGACGAATTACCCGCACACATCTAGCGCATGTTTTTAATTTGGTGATGAAAAACTAAGGAAGAGCAATGCAATGTTTAGCACATAGTTTACAAAGTTATTTCATAAAACATACTTTTTCATCAGGTAACTCCTGCTTCCACTCCCATTCCCAGTCTTCCTCATCGGAACAATCACTTTCTGTCTCCCCACTAATAACCTCAATACCAGGACTCAAAGTGCTACTCTTCCCAGTTGGAGCAAGGAGCTTGGTAACTAGATCAAGGTCTGGAAATTTGACCCTTGAGAAGCTTTGGTAAACAGATGGTGAATAATCCTAAAGTGCAAAATACGACTAAAATGCATGACAAGAGATTTAAACTGCACTAAAAGGAAACATTTGCTCACACCACTCTACATAAAATCATTTTAAAAAATGTACCAATTAATGAATTTTACAATTTAGCTTTACTGGCAGTGTTGGTGCATTGAAGTGATGTTTTGCCTAATATATATAATTTATAGATTATGTGGGCAATTTTTGTTGAAGGGAAAATACTTTATGATTGAGACAGGACAGAAGTAATTTTTAAGGAAAAAAGCCATACATATACACTATCATAATTTTCTATGTGTTTACAAAATATACCATAAAACCAAAGTGGATTAAGAAGAGGATTAAAATGAGTGCTTAACCCATGTAGCCTGCAAAAGCAATGGCAATTAGTGTTGAATGACATGCTCCACACATCTAAAAACCCCCTATCATCTCCCTATCATAATAAAAATGTACAGAATTTTAAAAAATCTGACATGATATGGCAACAATTAGCCAGAAAAATCTCATTTAAACTAGAACAGATCCCTACACAAAACAATCATAAATTCATTCCTGCAAAGTAAAACCTTAATATTTACCTTTATCTATGTCATATGAAGCAGATTCCTTGCCATTTTCAACAAGTTCTTCTGGAAAATTAAGCCTAAAATTAAACATTCAGATTAGTGAAATAAGAAAGTGATCATAAAATCAACCAATGGTTTTCAGAATAAACTCGACAGGCATAATTCATAAATTTTATGCTGTATTTCAAAAGAATTGTTTGACTGGATCACACATCAACAAAACATGAAAAAGTCATGAATACTAGCAATGTACTAAATGTTTTATGAGTCCTCAACAAGCTGGCAATCAACTTAGATATTTGAGTACTGGTTCAACATACCTCAAAAAGTAGGGCTTTACAAAAAATTTGAATAGATGATGGTCAATAACGTAATCTACATCTTGAACCTAAATAACATAAAATAGCTATATCTGATATTATCTAAAAAAATGCCAGTAGTTTAGATTAGCAATATACTAATTCAACATTAAACTGATCATGGATGGATTCATGAATGAGCGTGCTCTAGTTTGAGTAAGATTTTGTGGCCACTTTTTGGGTGTAAATAAAACCAAGTCAGACTTTAGTTACATTCTGTTAATTGATGGTGACATTTCTCTAAGTCTGCTCAAACATCATTGACCAAAATTTCTTTTGCTTAATTGCTTTGTATATTAATTTAACGCTTACAAGGAAGTTAACTCTCCCCCCATACCCAAGACTATGAGGGGTCTGGTTGTGCATCCCGGTACAACACGAAACATCATAAGAAAATATTCAATCTTCAACATTCAGCTTTTTGTAGAATTTTGAAATTACATACCGTGACCAAACAATCAAAAAATGAATAGAATAGGAATGTTCTAACAAGTAACTAATCGTTTGTAAGGATTATAAAAAGCCGCCAGAGAAACGCTCAATACAATCTACTCACTTTGATGTATGGTGTCTTTATATAAACATAGACAAAACATCATCCTGATTTAATTCAAACGCTGGGGTAAGCATTTTCGCAGCTCACAAAATGTTCACAAGCATTCTAAGGGCCTGTAACATTTGTTTTCTTGAACCCGAGGAAAGGAAATAACGTAAATAACTTGTCAGGGTATTGGTCACGGGTTATGTGACATGTGATAACCCCACTGACCTGCTGTATAGTAATTACCTGGGCGGGAAACCTAATCAAAATAATTATACTTTATGAGCGCAACACAGTGGCGCAACATGTTGCCAAAAACATGGATGCCGTTATATGGAAAATTTTGGATGAAAATGTCAACGGAGTTGCACCACTTGTGAGTTGCACAGGCTCATGTTCTTAAGAGTTTTTCTCCCCTCCTGATTTCAACCAACGCGATTAAAGCATAGCACTAGTAAAATGTCAAAACTTTTTTTCAAGTGGAAGCTTTATGACCACAGTATAGAGAACATACAGTAGGGCCACTCCATTGAATTTTTACGCATATCTTATTGCGCATGTGATTACCATATTGGCAGCCAGTAAATTCCATTGTGTGACGATGTGGCAAAACGGCAGAGAGTAAACTAATTAAACATACAGCACCCAATTGTACAGCGAAGTGGCCCTACTGTATATTCCTATACTATGTTTATGACCATGGCCCCTGAGACACTGCCATTTAAATTTCAAGAGAAAAGAATTTGGAAAAGTAATACAAGCTTTTCAATTCATCCAAAGACCAAACTCTTTTTCCTTGACATTAGTTGGCTTTTTAAAGAAAACACCTAAAAAAAGTAAGAATAGAAAACCAAAAATGTCGAAACGCGTTTACTTGAATCATACCCTATTGGCAAAAATTAGAGAAAGATAGCAAATAATAAGTCTCTTGTGGTGATGGTTTTCTCTTTACTTTCGAAATCAGATTCCTCATCCTAAAGGAAAGACGCAGGTGGTTATTTTTTACACATCTTTAGCAACATCATGAACAGTACCCACTACTATATACCACGTGAGCCAACGAGCTTCCAAACTTTATATGCAATTCATCGATATTTCTTTTGAACATATCTTCAGTAGAATCCGTGTTATTCATGCATTGTTTTTGTATTGGAGCATCGTCCTCGCCAGAGCTTTTATGGTCATCAACATGCTTGGAATAATTCGTGTTTTCATTGGTCAACGAGTCCTCATCATCCAAAACTTTAGAGTGCACACTGGGTGCTTGAACTACGTTCAATTTCATCAAGCTATCTTCAAACTGAGCTGTTTCTCCTCTGTCAAGCTTGATTTTGTTTCACTTTTGGAAGTTTCATTTTCAGAAGTATTTCTTCTACATCAATCCACGAGTTAGAACATCTGTCATAAATATTATAGCATTGCTTATGCACAAAATATGCAGACACAAAGTTATGGAGAAAGATAAAAAAATAATCTTTAACATTGTCACAGATATTACGCGTGGCGTAGCAAAGTGTTGATGAGTTTGATATGCATTTGTCAAAAACAAGCGTAAGAAGACAAAGAGCGTGCCAAAAATATATGATTAAAAATTGCTAAGCGTATATACAAGCACCAATTTAAGAGCTTGCTCCGTCACAACTTAATCGAGAATAAATCTGAGCATGCGTATTCAACTGCACCAACTCTCCAAGTTCATGGTCATGGCAACGACCAATTGTATGTACTAGTACCAAGTATAGAGTAATTAGCTCGCTCAGTCACAAATTTTCAGATAAATCGTCTGCGCATGCGCAGTCTGCTTGAGCATGCGCAGTTGACTTGACCATGCGCAGTTGACTCAGTGAACTCTACAACAACTGGAAGGCTAACTCATTATAAACAAACCTAGACTTGTTTGAAGCCAGATAGAAGCTGTTTTGCCGCTTCGCGTGTATCTCGCGTGGACTGTTTCATTTGCGTGACGGATTGTTTTGCAAAAACTGCTAACTTGGAAATAGAATGCTAGCCTAAATGCTTTATTTTTTTCAAAACCGTTAGCAAAATTTGGTTATTAATGTGTTAAGATGTATTGTGGACGTTCCAAGACATGTTTTGTATACGTAACGCTGTATTATATAAAACATAAAGGGAGAACTTGCTTCGAAATATGAATTCTCATTTGTCGTCGAAAGACCAAAAATTTAAGATAAAACTGATAACAGGTAGTCTGTATCTTTGAATGCTGTGCAAAATACACACAATCCAGTTAACATAACATGTTTCATAACAATTTTATTGCTTTTAAAGTTAGACTTGCTTTGTAAGAATTTCACATGCTCTTTTTGTAATGTGTGATAGTGATGATTTGAAATTTTGAGCTGTGGGTGATTGTTGGTTTTTGTCATTTACTTCTCCCACTTCTTAAGAACTGGTGGAAGATTTTACATGCATCCATATTTGTGTATTGAGCATTTTATCAGCAAGTTCATGCTTATAAATAAATAGCCAAGTGTACAACATGACAAGTATTGCTAATATAACCTGCTCTACATAAATGCCAAAAAGCAACCCTCATCCTCAGTGGCTTGTACCAGGTTTTTAAAATGATTACAAAGCAAGCAAAGCTATATCATGTATCAAAATTTTATAGTATATCATATTGATTGTAAAATTAGTTTTTTCTTATAATACAGATAATGATAAATGTATATGTAATATATTAAATTTTAGGATGTGTGTTTAAAATGTTTGGTCATATTTGTGAAAATATATGATGATTCTATAATATTAGACTAATAATCTTTTTCATACTTGTATTACATTACAATTTTTACTTAAGTGTTTCAAAAGTTATGAATATGGAGTGTCAATTGTGTTTTTGTCTTTTTTTTTAAGTGGGTATTGTCCCTTTTGACTCCTTAATGGTGCAATAAATAATAACACAATAATATGGCATTACAGGTTTTTTTAAAACGAACTCAAAATATTTTTTTGCTAACTTTATGAAATATTTTGCAAAGTGTTTTTCTTTTTGTTTACGCTCTTAACTTTCAAAAGGACTGGGCGACTAATTTTGCTCGGACACACAAAATTACAAAAACAGCGTTTTTGCCCTGACAGCTTCATTTTCAAAGATTCAAACAATATTACAAGGATAGACAAGTATGTTTTACATCCTTTTAATGAAAAAAATCGAGGGGTGTCAGTTTTGTATTCAAGTTATAAGGCATGCTTTCACGTGCCAAAAACAAAGTTCGCTTTTCATCCTTCTAAAAAGAAGCTTAAACATGTACAAATGTCGTTCAAACTTGTTTTATATTAAAGTCCAAACATTGTTTAAGATTTTAGGCATTAAGCTGGCTTGAAGAACACTGTTTTTTGCAAAAAATCCGGCAATTTCGAAGTGATGTATTTCGCCTCCGTACCTTCAATGGCGGCGCTCATGCAGGCTTCAAAGATGGCGTCCAAGTTAGCCTTCCAGTTGTTATGGAGTTCATTGAGTTGACTTGACCAGCTGCCCAAGCTCATGGTCATGGTAACGACCAACTTCATCTACTAGTACCTATTTTGAAATAAATAGCATGCTGTTTAATAGAAATCATGTGCGCATGCGCTCGAGCATGACTAATTATCATAGTCATGTCCATTGAGTTCTATAATAACTGGAGCGGCTATCTCAAGCGCGGCCTTAGATATCTGATGACGCCAAAAAAATGGCGGATTTCGTCCTTTGCCGCTGAGATTTACCGAAATTGACCGTAGCTTTTCACAATTTCCCACTCCCTCCTGAGGAAAGAGTGAGGGAAAATGTATGTGTGTATTGGGATTCGGCAAGCAATTTTTTGATGAAAATCAAGGTAAAAACCTTAAATTCATAACAGCGAGTCAACTGTGGTTATCAGTTATCTGCTCCTACGAGGATGCATTTATAACTATCGACGAAAGACCTATATGTCGGCTACACATGTATGAATGTAGATGTGCGTCGTTTTCTTACCAGCGTCAAACTTATTTGATCGATTAAACTCTTTAGTCTATACAAAAAGTATATCATAGTTCATCTCCACGGTTCACGAGAGAAAGTTAGCTTATTTGTTATCATTGCTATTTTGCTTCTTTTCATGCAATGGGCAATGGCTTTTTTCGCCACAATTGTAGGATTTTTACTTGTTTCTTTAAAAAAGTACATATTAAATCTCTGGATATTTACGGATTTTCTGTAATTGAGTTTCATATGAAATTTCAAAAAGACTCAAGTCTGCATAGGTTTGGTAAATGAAAACAAACAATATTGTATAGAAATTACTTTAAGTAACCTTTTTGTGATGTTCTGAAGTGCAACTGCATCAAATACTTGTAAAGTTGTAGCACATTTTGATTTTGTTGTATTGATATATGAATTGGGCAAAATGCAAATAATAATCAAAACACTTATGCTTCCAATGGTGTTTTATTCATTTGTAGTTTTAATACTTCTACCTTTCTTTTCACTTTGTTTTGTTTTCCTATATTTGCAATAAAAGTGCACTATAATTTGAATGATTAACACAGTTTTCACCTCAATAATAAATTTCATAAGCAGTTGGTAGTGCAATTTGTTCTCTGAGTATCCACATCTGGTGTTTTGTTCATACAAGAATGATGAAGTGCAAGTAGATATGTCATAGCAAGGCAATAAAACCAAATGAATTACATACCTATAGTGTACTCTTATGCTAGAAGCTTAAAGCTTTTTAGAAATTAGAAAGTTATTGGATTATATTACCTCTATATCATCAATCTCATGACAAAGAAATAAGAAGCAAAAAATTTGTAGAAAGCTTTGAAAAGTGAAAACTTTTATTTAAAAAGCAGCAATAATGCATATGATAAATCTCCATTCTGTACTCTAATAGGTAAATAAGCTCCTGTTTCTTAAAAAATATAAAAATATATAAGAAATATAGAGTACAATAACTTTAAAGGTTTCATCACTGAATCTTTAATGCTTCAGTATAGTGCATTAGATATTAGTAACATTTAAACACTCAACTAAAATATTTTGATAAATATGACATGATTTAAACATTAAGTTATAAAACCAATGGCTTCAGTTTGAAGCTTCATCTGCATCGAATCATCATCAATCTCAGTACAAATGTTTACATAGACACAAACTTTATGGCCTTCCATTTTACATG